TATGGTCGTTGACAGACTGTGCCTTATCATATTCACAATGTTCACAATATTAGCCACAATAGCTGTACTACTATCAGCACCACATATTATTGTCTCGTAGCCATATGGGCGAGGTGGTTATTGTTATTGGTTTTATTATAAAATCAATTTGTTAATTATTAAATTAATAACGAAACTTTTTAAGTAAATTTAAAAACATTTAAAAAAAAAACACAAAAACTAAAAAAAAATATTAAAAAAAGAAACAAAAAAAGAGAAAAACACCTTAAAAACCATTGACTAAATAATACAAAAAAAAAACTATAATTTAAACACAAAAACTCGTTTAAACAAATCCCTTAAAGCAAAACCTACCCAAAAGAGACTTAAAAACGAAAAACAAAAACTTTAACTAAAATTTGTTTACGTTTTTTATATTCCAAAGAAAAAAAAGAAAAACAAATTCTTTCTTAGCCACTAATCCCCCTCCCTAAGAAAAAAAAACAGAAATTAAGTTTCTTCCATTTGAAATATTTCAAAAATAAGAAGCAGAAATCGATGACAAAGCAGTTGAAGAAAATAAGACGACAAGAATGACACGGGTATATTTTCTTTAAAGATTTGTATATTTTACACTTTAGGAGCAATTTTTCACAGAAAACTTTTCCAATATATAAATAAAAAATGAGAGAAAACAAGAACAACTTCAAAGAAATTGCAGTATTACATAAAATGTTTCGAAGACTTCGATTGTATACGCTCAATTTCCTTTTTGATATAGCATTGAGCTTTATAAAGTGAAATACATAGTAGAAATTTAATGGATCCAAATGGTAGGCGAAACCCAACGTTGTTTTGTATTTCTAATTATTGAATTGATTGATTTTATTTTGTATTGTTAGGCTGGCTCTTCTTCCAGCTAACAAATTATTTGGCTAACTGAGTCAAAGAAAATAAGAACTTAAAAAGAAAAAAACAAGAAAATACTTAAATCTTCTTGCAAATATTACTTCAAGTCAGTTTATGCATGTAGCTTTTCCAGATCCCAGATTTTTCTCATATGATCAACAATTCCATTGCTTCCAACTAAAAAACAAAAAGTATTATTAAAAAAAAAAAAAAAAAAAAAAAAAACTTTTAAGGAATTGTATGAACTATATAAGGTTAGAATCCCATAGAACAAACTGCATTTCTAAACAGAACCAATATGACGAACTACATATCCACGACATTTGTACGTAAAACACTTCCCTTAAACAATTTTATTTTATTTTCAAAACCAACTTAAAAACCAAATCAATAAAAACAAAATCCTATCCCTAAGCTAAATGCAAAAACAAAACCAATAGAATAACCCATCCTACGAATTGAAACAAGAGAAAAACACATATAATCAATTGGAATTTCAAAATTTAATCAAATAGAAAAAAATTGAAAAACGAGCAGTGTATACAAAAATACTGAATATCCACACTCAGTATATAAATAATAAAGAAAAACCTAGCCCAGAGAGTGCACAGCAAATGGAATGCAAATGAAACTGCATTACATCTGGATGTGAACGGCAAAGCGAAAAAAAAAAGAAAACATTGATTGAGTATGAAAAAAAAGCACACACAAATGATTGAAATTTCAATGGTTGCGAGCAATAATATCTGCGTGTTGATGAATTGCATGATGATTTTTTGGTGATGCAAACAATGATCGATCGATCTATTGTTTGATGTGCCCAGGCACATTCAAGCAAAGGTTCGCTCCTTTATTGCATTGAGAACAGCGAATGTATCTAAACAGTACACAAAACTATCTTTCGGTATTCTTTCATTTAACAAAACAAAATTTCTTACTTTACTTTTTTTTATTTTCATAAAAAATAAAACTTAAACAAAAAATACATTAAACTATGGAATACTGAAATTTGGTAGAAAACACCAAAATGCATACAATGCTACGCAACACACCAAAAATACCAAAAAAATACTAGACAAACAAAATACCAATAACAATGAACATCATCAACGTACACAAAACATGTACGGTGCATGGCAAATTATGTGCTTTGCTCCAGTATTGCGCGCACAACAACATACACAACAACAAGAGAGAGAGCTTTATACATCACTTACAAATTACAAAAAAGGAAAAAAAAAACAAACAAACAAACATACACACATATATATAGAGAAAGTATTCATTAGACGTGAGACTCACATTTCATTCACACACTCACTCAATTATTGGCTGCTGATGTTTTCATACAAATGTATTCTGAAGATCTTCCGATCAAGTCGTATGTTACTGTCCACAAAACTAGCCAAGCACACAATTTCTAAACATAAGAAGAAGAAAAAAAAAACAACATAATAGAAACAACAACAAAAATCTTAAAAATTACAATCGCATGCGCATCAGGCGAGACTGAGCAATCTCAAGTGATGCCCACATGCCTAAACTCAACATAAATTTCTATATATATATGTTAAACTTTCACAGATTTTAACATTTTACTTTTATAATTTTTAAGTTACAGCAATTCTGCTTCTAATTGTAAATCTTGTGCATTGAAAACAATCAGAATTTTTCTTTGAATATAAAAATACAATAATAATATAAAACAAACCACAACGAGAAGAATAACAAGAACATTAACCACAAAAACAATATATGTTCATTTGCATATATAAAAAATATACAATTATTTAAAGCTACAATTACAGAAAACAAAAAGAAAAGCAAGAGAAATAAATGTCATATATTTAAAGTAAGCTTAACACACATCGTAAATAAATCATAAAAAATAAGAATTAAGATTCTAACAAGGAGCTCAGCAACAACAACAAATACATTAATATAGCAATAGTTTAACTCGTATATGGAATGACTTAACAGGGATCGAAAGATTTATAAAAGAACTCTTGATTCTATTTGTTTTGTTTTTATTTTTGTATTTAATTTTGGAGTTTATAAAATCTTTACATACTGTCTTTTGATACCATTTATAAGCAAACACAGAATTTTGAAACTCTACACAACCAAACATTTCTTATTGAATTTTCATATTTTATTTCCTTTTTTTTTTTTTAATATGAACCAACTTTATTTTTTAATCAATTTTTGAAATCGTAGTGTTTTTAAGATTGTCGAAATTTGTGGGACAGCTTAGTAAAGTTAAGGTTAGCTTTTGATAAACGAAAAAAAGAGATAAAAAACAAACTGAAATCCAATCATTGTGAAAATTAAATAATTAATGCTACATATGTATATTACTAAAAAGGTGAAATTATAAATTTTACTTTGATGATATTTGCTCAACACAATTCACATATATTTTTCATTTCTTATGTTAAATTTGAGAGAACAAAATTTCGATCCTATTAGGCACAAACAATTATTACAAAGAGAGATCATATAATAGAGATGAAATAAATAGCAAAAAAGCTGCCAGCATGAAAAATAATAACAATAATTAATTTTAAAATATTTTAGAAAAGTTTGTCATGATTTGAGCTCAATTTTTTTAGTATCCGAATACAGCTGAGCATGTATGAATATAAATGTGGAAAACAATTGTAAGACAGTTTAATTGAACATAGAGCAACAGTGTAAGGCTTGCCAATCTCTTAACAAGTAAATATTCAAGTACAGACCGATTGACAGTAATCTTAAGCAATTTTTAACAACCATCAGCAAATAGATTTAAATACTAAATACATGAAAGACAGCGCCCAAAGACAAACAAAAAAAAGTAAAAATAAATAAAATAAAAAATAAATGTCAAAAAATAAATAAAAAATGAAAAAAAAGGAAAACAAAAATACAAATATTAATAAATAAACAACGTGCACCCGTGAAGATGAAAACGCTGAGAAGCTTATGCAGGCGGTTCAAAAGTTTAATACTACATATAAGAAAGGAAAAACAAAGCATACAAATTATATATATATAAATTACATTTCTAATACATACAAGAAAACTGTTTGGAAAATGTTTCTTTCTTTCATACACAAATACATATATAATCATGTATGGATGCGTATATATAATATGCATCCATATATACCATATATAAACATTTCTTTTTTACACTGAAAGCAAAAATATATATATATATATACATATATATATATATACATAATATATGTACTAAATATACATATATATCTTAGCGTACTATGTAATAAATACATAAAAAAAAAAGAAAAAATATTTAAAAGCAAATGATGAAACTTTTTCCTAAAAACTAGTTGCATTTAAATGAATTTTAATAAATAAAATAAATATACATAAAAGTATATATTTATTAAAAAAAACATGCTCCTTTCTCTACTAAAAAAGAAAAAAAAAAGAAAAAAAAAACAACTTTAATATAATACTTAATTAGAAATTAATAATAGTCAAAAGTGAAAAGAATGCAGAAAACCAAGCAAAAATCGTAAACTAGAAAATATTAAAATTAAATTAATTTTTAAAAATGAGAAAACCAAAAACAAAAAAACAAAAAGAAAAATGCGCTGATTTTTTATGTCGTTATTAGTATTTAAATTTAAATAATTGCATAAAAAAAAAACAAAAAAATCATAAAAAATAAAGAAAAAGAAACCAAGAAGTATATATAAAAATAAATTAGAAAAAATTGAAAATTGGTCATTTTGACCTGAATAGTAAATTATAGAAATAATAATGCTAAAAGAAGCAAAACAGAAATAACAAACAAAACAAAAAATGAGAAAAACGATTGTAAAATTTTAATTATTATTCAATAATAAAATACAAAAAAAGAAATGATTCCACAAAATAACAGAAAAAAGGATAACTTCAGTTGGATGATTCGCGTTTATTTTCTCTATAAAGGAATGAAGGACGACTACAAGATGTGTGGAGCATACGAATACCCAGATTTTATGGAAAGGTAAAAACTCTAAGGCTTAGCACAATTATTAAGATCTGTGCATTATATGATAAACATCAACGGAACAGTTCAGTGTATATATATATATATATAATATTTAGCTTAACAACATTCCAAACTCATTTGCAAATATGTATGAAAATATAATAACATTAAAATATTATTATTATTATTATTATTTTTTAACTCATACAATCATCTACTAAAAATACATTGTACAAACAAGTCGTATGTGGTTATTATCAATCATATAGAACTAATCAATGCAAGTATTGCAATTTATATTCAAAGTGGTAAAATTTCACATCAGCTCACACTTTTAGAGTCCTGATGTCATATTCTGATTACGATTAATCGAAAAAGTAAATTTTACGCCAACAAAAAATTCTGATGTCTAGCGCGCAGTTTGTCAACAAGAACCAGCTGAACTAAAATTTTTCTTATGCTCCTAAGTCCTTTCTTTACAAGACTTTCTTATAACAGCTATAACAAAATAATACAATATAAAAGTATATATATCAAGCTAACCTGAACAAAAGAAATCAAACGGATTCTGCGTGTATGTATAAAACAAAAACAACATAATATTTACTTATATATCTTCCATTTTATCTTCAATGTATGCTACGTACAAATGTTGACAAATCTGTTTTAAATCGATACAAAATTTTCCTATCTATATAGTGTACCCACAATTTCGGCATGATTTCTTTACATACTCCTGCTACTTACTTCCAATTCCACTATCAATTAGTTAAAAACAATCGATACAACAATTAATACCAATAACGCCTATATATATTTTCATAATCTGCACTTAGTTCTTTGCATTCAATAATCATTAAATTGCATGCGAATATCACCTCACATATACTCTAAATACTCTCTATTAATAATATTCTATGAAACCAATACTAATATAATATTATTTATTCTTCTTATGCTAAATGCCGTTGAGTGTCGAGAGGTCAGTTTAGTATGAATATTAAACTATTTACCTTGATTGTCTTAATTATTTACTAATACCAACCTTAACCTTTTTCTTAGATTGCCAACTCTACAAGGATAAAGGATGGCATAAACTTATACTACTGAATACTAACACTGTGCTCCTACAATAATAAATTAATTATTTTAGATTAACCAAAATTAAGAAACAAACGTTTATGGGCTTTAATAAATATATTTTATAAAGTTTTAAAATTTGTGTTTTAATCAAAAAAAAAAAAAACTAACTTTTTATAAACGTATTTAAAATATAACCGCAATTAATTTCGGCAAGTGAGGAGTAAAAATTGTTGAGGAGCAGTCACTCACGACTATAACAGCTGACTATCGGTATGCCGCACACAAGTTCACGCAGTCAGTCCATGTGTTAAGGGTTGATTTTCAGCATCGCAGCCAACTTCACGTGACGCAGCATTTGGATCTGCCTTGAAGTTGGTAGCATCCATTAATGTCCTGCGTTAAGTTGGCTGCGTTCAGTTAGCACAAACAGTTTTAGCAAAGACACAAACCAGCACGACGACTGTGTAGTTGGGATACAAACCCACTATTTGCTGAAACAGTTTGAATTTAAATGTTGTTTGCCGTTTTGGAGACAAGTAACAAATGCGATAGCAATATTTGGCAACGAGTAATTATATGAAAGTAGTACTACTATGCCAATATGCTTATACCGAAATTGCTATCAATTATATGTATTATTAATACATAATATACATATATTTAAGTGTTGTATTAGCTGCCAATGAAAGGCTTGGGCATCAAAGTGTCTAATCTACAAATTTGTCTTTTCGTGAAAAAAGTAGTGTTATTTATGGTCAGTTTAGTTCATACAAAGGCTATCATAAAAGTCATTGCAATTAAGAATATATTTTTTTATATTTTCTATATTTTCGATAATTTAAGTCATATCTGATCGTCATCCAAAGCCTACATAAATATGGCATAACTAGCCAAAAGCCGCAAAATGCGTTTCTTATATACATATATAGATACATAAAAAATGCTGTTCCCTTTTTGAGTAAATTTCATTTGATATATATTCCAAATATATCTCTTCCATCCTTCTTATGCATTTACCTACAAATGTCTTTTTTTTATATATATATTAATGAATTAAATAATATACTAATTGGTAGCTTCTGCCATCATCTGCATCTGCTTAACTGTCTTCCTCTGTCCTTCTCTAAGCCTTCCGAAAAGCTTATATCCAGATCGCATTGTTTACATTCGCATTTTATTTAAATATGTTGCGATTTTTTCGCACTTGTAAATCAAATAATAAGCTGCACACACACACATACACTCACATGGATTCACATGCTGCACTTTCGAGTGCATGAGGAATGCAAATCAACTGTAATCGAACAACAATAACAACAACAATTGAATACACAAAGGGCAAGTTATTTTTGTATTTTTTTTTTTTTTTTTGTTGATCAAAATTGCATAGCAAATACTCAAAGCAAGTGCTGCACTTGTGGGGCGTGCCTCAGCGTTTGATAATGAAACCCAAAGCATGGCAGTGGGGTAGGGGCTGGTCAGCATCCCTAAGCCCCTCTATAACCACTCAAACCACGCACTTAAGTGTTTGCTTTTTTTCATTGCATACTTTTGTGCGTGTAAAAAATAATATGCGGCTTTTTTAAACACACACACACACACATGTAGGCACAACAAGTGCGGTTTAAGCTGGTATATAAACTATGTATAATACCTATGTGCATGTGTGTGTGTGTATTTATATAGAGGCACATATTTATTGTAGTTGTTGTTTATGTAAATGGTGTTCTATGTACACCATTGCCCACGCACAATTGCGCCAGCGAGCAACAACAACAATGGAAAATGTAACGCGCTTTTGTTGTATATTAAAATTGCCGCCTGTCTTACTGTCAATGTCTGTACGCGAGTTTGTGTGTACGTGTGCGTGTGTGTGTGTGTGTCACGTAGGCTAGTGTAAAGTATATAATTAACGGCATTTCACATATGCATGTATGTGCGGGCAAATGTATCGCGTATATAAGCCGCATATCCCACCCAACCCAGAGCCAACCCCCTATTTGTCGCTGATTACACGGAATACATAAAGTAAATGTCAAAAGCGATACACACACACACACTCACACAGACACACAGCAGTTGTCGTTGTTGTTGCTGATTGAGTTTGAGTTGCTGATGAGTGCAACCGTCGACCCCAATGAACCAAACTCCCCCGCGCCAACCCAAGCAGAGCTCAGCAACACCCCATACACTCACACACACACTCATACGCTGTTGTCCACTCTGAGCCTACCTCAATATTAGTACACACACACATAGAGACACATTGAGCTGCATGCTGTTTGTCTGTTGTGCCCACCCGCTGGCCGCTTCTTTCGTGTGGGCGCTTGCCATCTTGAGCAGTCCCCACTCCAAACTCTTGTAGGTACTGTCCGACTCCTCCGGCCCCCCACCACCACCTCCTACCATTGTCCATGTCCAGTGTACTGCACAATAAGCACAAATTACGAGTACGCATTCGCCTGGTTCTTAGCGTGCGGGTGTTTTGGCTCAAGCTATTTGATTGTCCGCCTCCATTGGGGGTCAATGTGTTGGTTGTTGTTCAGCTTCAGCTTGTTGTTGTTGTTGTTGTTTGTATTTCTTCTGTACAAATTTATGTAGGGTTTTAACTTCTGTATTTGGGCTTTTGACTTTGGATTATCGTTTGAAACTTATTTAGCCCAAAGAGTTTGGAAAATTAAACCTGTTTTGTTTCAATTTATTTTTATTTATACATAATTGTTATTTCCAGTAATATATTGTATAAGACATACTTATTATATTATCGCAGTTTACACTTTATCAAAAAAAAAAATAATTTAATATAATTTAATATAATTTATTTGCATTATTTAGTGCTTTTATATTTCACTTAAGTCAACAGAAATTTTCCCTAAACTATGTTAATTTTATAATTTTATTTCGATGCCAAATGAATATTTATACCACAATGAACATATTGGTATTTAGCTAGGTAATAATGTTAAATACGAACAATTTTTGTTTAACATTTAAATATTTAACGTAAAATATATTAGCCAAGCCATTTTATTTGAAATATATTTTATATAATTTTTTTTTATTCTTTTTTACTTTAAAAGCAGCTTAAAAACTTAACATAAAAAATTATGAAAAAAAAAAAAACAAATTGCAATTAAATATCACTCGCTCTATTGACTCTTCGAAAATGAACGTAAATTATTTTAATATTTAAAGTAGCTGTTAAAACTGCACTAGAGGCAGCAGTCCTGCTTTCTAGCATATATGTATATTTGAAAACTGCGAATCGCATCATTAATACTAAATGCAAAATGCGAGAATAAAAAACTATGCAATTACATAATTTGGCTAATGGCTGATGAACAAATGCCGCATGCACAAACAACAGTGCGACACACGCACACACACACACACACGCCCCCACACAAATCCCACTCCCACACACACACGCACATTATTATTATGTACTCTTGATAGATACATAAGTGTTTCGCCTGCTGTTGGCAAATTTTACTGTACATAGAAAACTGTACTCGTCGTCTAATTATATACAAACAGTGTGCTAGCCAGGGGTTCGGGTGGCTGCGGGGGGTGCCTATGAAAAATCACTTGAAAATTGACCAACCACTGCCCTAAAATAAACCTCAAACCCCCCTTTGAAGCTGGCTGTGGCCAAAGCAGCAGCACACTTGCGCACTTTCGGGAGGGGGAGGCGAGCAGGCGAACTGAGATTGCCAAAGTAGGCTTAAGATTTTCTTCGAGAGAGAGACTGCACAATGCATGAGGCAAGACAAAACCAAATATAATGCAACATTTTTGACAAGATGCAGCACGCACACACGCACAACACACAGACACACACAGAAGTATGCACACGCACAGCATGCAACTGCAGTTTGTTTCTCTGTATTGGTTTACTTTACTCATTTGCAATGTTTTCGGTAGAATGTAAAATTGAATTATTTAAAATTTAATAGAAAATCTTTGGCTTGTCTCAAAAATATATGTATACAAACATGTATATGTATATGTGTGCATTATATCAACATGCATAGGTCGTATATATGTTTGTATATGTATATGCTTGTACAAAGACAGAAGCTTGTTGTGCTCTAGCTAAATTGTGGTATATTATAATATGCTCTTGCTACTTGTCACAATTTCCATATGATTTGCTTAAGTATTTTAATTCCCAAGAATACAATATATATATTTTATAAATAATTATATATACTTACTTGATTTTGTACCTTAAAAGAACTAGACTTTCACATTCATATTTTTATTTGGCTTATTTATTTATTTTCATATTGCTTCGATTTTTATTTCTCTTTATCATTTACGCCTAGAATTTTAAGAGTACTAATTAATATTTTTCTTTACTTCGAAGTTTCTTTAAATTACTATTATTTGTATATTTAAATTTTCATTTTATTTATATAAATTTATTTTATTTTTAATTGTATATTAAAATCAATATAAATTATAATAATATAAAAAATAAATTACAACTGTTCGTATTTATTTAATATTCTTTCTATTTATTCATTATTATTAATTCTTTCTTATTATTTTAACTTTGATTTTAATTAAAATTTTATAAATATATAAATATATTTTAACAATTTTTATATTTTGATTACATATTTTATTTTACTTTTTAGCAAAACAAAACAATTTTTCAATAGGAATCGAAATTTAAAAATAAGATTAATATAATATTATATATTCTTCATTACTAATTTTTTTTAATGTTGGCAGGCAAAATCATTTACTTTTTAATCAACATTAAAACTTTCAATAGGAATAAAATTTACAAAATATTTTTTTTTTTTTACAGTTTTTTAAATTTGGCAAATTTGTTGTTAGAGCATATCGAGTTTGTTATATTTTTGTTGGCATTGTTTTTCTTAGCCGCATTTATATACATATTAATATATATTTTATGCTTCACTTCACACACACATACACACACACTCACACACACACGCACATTTACTTGCTGAAATATCAACATCTTGAGTTTGCTTGGCAGAGTTTGAAGACGGAATCGTTTCGAATCCCCTTTTGCATCCATAGGCCATGTTATCATTTCGGTAATTGCATTTTTGTGTTTGTCGTTGTTGTTGCTGTTGCACATGCTGTTTTAGTTGTTGTTGCTGCTGCTATTCGTGCTGCACTTTACGGCTTTTTGTTTCCTTTGGTCTCTCCAAGGGGTTATTTTGGTAATTTTCTCAAGAAAACTCAAACCTTAGCCAATGCGGCCCATAAATAGTTGACCTGACCGCTAGCTCTGTCTCTCTGTCTCTTTCGCTTTGGCATCTATCTCTGTCTGTCTCTATGTATCTAATTTGAGACATTGAGACACACAGCCACATATACATAGAGATATATATGTGGAGCTGTATTGCATTAATAAATATGCACAGCAGGCATTTATATAGGATACATTTAGGCGCCGTACAGCCAGCATCCTTTGTGCCTGCCAAATTTATTTTCCATTTATTTCTCCTGCAGTTTCTAGTTTTTTCTTTGCCATTTTGTGGCAGCTTCTTGAGGAAGCTGCAAATAAATGAATGAAGTCTTATAATTGGACTTTGGCCTTACACCTTTTGGCTTTTGCCGGAAATTAATATATGTATTTGCACGTTGATTCGCAGCGGGTTTGGGCCATTCCATATATTCCTGGGACTGGCCATAAAATGATGTAACAAATGCACTTTTTTAATAAATAATAAATAATGGCAAGAAATAATTTTAGACTTTTGTGTAAGTCTCTGTCAAAGACAGTTGACAGCATGTGCATTCCTTTGAGTGAGTATATTAACAGAGTCGATCTCTATCCTGAGGC